ATAAATAAATAAATAAATAAAAAGGGTAAGGAGTATAGCTCAATCTGAAGGTCCTAGGTTGAATCCCCAATACTAACAAAGGAAAAAAAGAAAGGAGGAAGGGAGGAAAGAAAGGAGGGAAAACAAGCAGGGAAAGTAGATGGACTGACTCAAAGGGATAAACCCACCTATGTATATCCACATTCATAGCAGGTTTATTCACAATAGGCGAAAGGGAGAAGAAAGCCAAGTGTCTATCAATGGACAAATGGATAAACAACATGCAACATACGGCCCTAGGAAGTAAGGAAATTCTAACACATTATACAATATAGATAAATCTTGAGGACATTATGCTAAGTGAAATAAGCTAGTCAGAAAAGGACACATAGTATTCTATACAATTCCATTCATATGAAGTACCTATGGTAGACAAAGTTACAGTAATCAAAACAGGTGAAACTGACATAACAACAGACATATAAACCAATGGAACAGAGTGCCCAGGAAAAATCCCTTACATATATAACCATTTGTTTATTTGCATGTTGATAAGGCCCAGAAGGAATGGGTACGTATTGTCATTGGGTACCAAGTTTCAGTTTTGCAAAATGAGAAGAGTTCTGTGGATAGACATTGGTGATGGTTACACAACTGAATGTACTTAATACCACTGAATTACGCACTCAATAATAGTTTGGTTGGTAAATGTTATGCTATGTGCATTTTGCCATAATTAAAAAATAAATAGAACTGTGCATGGTGGCACAAACCTGTAATCTCAGCACTCGCGAGGCTGAGGCAGGAGGATCACTATGAGTTCAAGACCAGCCTGGACTACATAGTGAGTTCCAGGTCAGTCTCAACTATATAGGGAGACACTGTCTCAAAAAAACAAAAAATAAATAATAAATAAATAATAAATAAATAAATAAATAGAGAAAAGAAAATCCAAGAACCAACATTATACTTGATAGTGAATATTTTCTCACTAGGATTACAAGAAACAAAGCAAGAATGTCATTCTCATCACTTCTGTCTGCCACTGAACTAGAAATCTTAGCCAGTGCATTGTTAATAAAAATAAAAGTCATAATCAAAAAGGAAGACGTAAGTCTTTATTCAGATATACACATAAAATGTCCCAAGGAATTTATTCTTAAGTTACTAGAACTAGTAAACAAATTTAACAGTGTTACAAGGTACAAGCTCAATATACAAAAATCAGTTTCATTTCTATATACCAGTAACAATTAGAAAATAAATGGTAAAACAATGACTATAGCATTTAAAAACAAAATACTTAGCAATAAGTTTAAAGATGTAGATCTCAATACTAAAATTTTAAAAATATTAATTAAGACACTCTAAATTCTTAAGCTTTTTCTTTTAAAAATTGAACAACTAAATTATATAGAAATGAAAAAAAACTAAGCCAAAATAAATGTGAAAAGGAAAACAGAGTTGGAGGACTAACCTTAACTAATTGCTATAGCAATCAAGAAATCATGATATGAAGCAAAAGAATAGCTGAAAGAGATACAAAGTCCATAGGTAGATAAACACAAATTGTTTTTTACCAAGAACATCAAAATACACAATAAAAAAGTCTTTTAAGCACATGGTGATGGAACAAATGAATATTCACAAAAAAGACTTTGATTCCTACTTCATAATACACAAAAATTAATTTAAGATAAAGTACAGACATAAGCATAAATATTATAAAACTAATAGAAAAATATAGAATATCCATCTTTGTAACTTTAGGTTAGGCCAAACTTTCTTAGGGAAGACAGAGAAAACATTAATCATAAATTCAAAAAATTTCGTTTTCATAAAATTTTTTTTAAAATCCTGATCTTCATAAAACATGTTAAAAAGTATGTGTAAGGCACAGTAATGCACACCTGCAATTCCAGATCTTTGGAGGCTGAGGCAGGAGAACTGTTTGAAGTTGAGGCCAGCCTGTGCTACACAGTGAGTTCAAGACCAGACTGAACTACATAGCAAGACCCTATCTCCAAAACTTAAAAAAAGTTAAAAAGTAAAAGAGAAAGCCACCCATAGGCTAGGAGAAATTACAACACATATTTGATGAAGAGCTTCCATCAAGAACAAAAATGTCTACAAGGCAATAAATGAGCAAAGTCTCATTAATGGCCAAGTCTTAAGCACTTTAAAAAGATGATATATATGAGTAGCCATTATAAGTGCAGGAAAACATGATTGACTTAGTCGTCACAGAAGAGCAAATTAAAACCACATCAACCCTATTTTATAATGCTCACTAGAATGACTAAAATTAAAGATTGATAATACAAAATTTTGCAAATCAAATGTTTGTAACTCATATACTTCTAGAACTACAAAATGTATAAAGATTTTGGAAAACTGACAATTTCATAAAAAGATTCTCACACATCTACCATATAAGCTAACAATTCCTAGGTATATCTAAGATAAATAAAAATGTATCCATAAAAACCTCAACAAGAAATTGTACAGCTGGTTTACTAGCAATAGCTGAAAACAAGAAACAGCTAGGTGTCAACAGGTGAATAGTTAAAACTGTCACACAGTCAATGGAGTACTACTCAGTGATTAAAAAAACTATTAACACCTGCTTCGGGGAACAGTCTCACATAACTGTGCTGAAAAAAGAGCACATATGTCTACGACAATGGAACAGGCAAAACCAGTCAATCATGACAGAAATCAGAAGTTAGTGCTTCTTGTGGTAGAGCAGTTAGGTAAACTAGAAAAAACAAAGAGAATTTTCTGAAAGGATGAACACACTCTTACCTTTTATGAAGGATGGATTATAAGGGTGCACACATCTGTGAAAACTGCTTGAATTTTATACTTCAGATCTGTGTGTTTCATTGCATGTAAATCCACACCTCAATTTTAAAAAGATAAAAAGGACACGGCTTTTGGGAATCACACAGTTCAGTTCTGCCACTTACCAGCTATGTGACCTTGGCCAAGTGTTAAACTGTCAGTCTCCTCATCTGTAAAATGGAGAGAACAAGAGTTGAGAATAATCTCATAGAACTCCCAGGAAGTGCAAATAATGTTTTAAGGACTTCAGCATACTCTAAATGTTCATTAAATATTAACCCAAGAAAGTTACAAATCTGTATTTCAGCAAAGGAGAAAGATGCAGGATTGACTCTAACAACAACTCACATATACAATATTACACTGTTTTCTAAAACAACCCCTAACAGGAATGATTACTGTTCTATGGGTGAAGAAATTGCTTCATAGATTGTCTACGGTCACTCAGCAAGCAATTTGCTATACCAGGATCCAAACTTCAGGGTTTTCCCCGTCCTACACACCAGGCATTCAGAAGGATCATTTCCAGGAACTAACCCCTTGCTGCCAGGACAGCCCAATCACATGAGAAGCTACTGCAGGGTCCTTTCATTCTTGCCAGTCCCAGCTCAGTCTTCTGACACTGAAAAGGAAGCCAATTCTGATAGTTTCATCAGCGAATGGAAATAGAGCTGTAAGTAGAACCCTAAAAATGCTACTGTGGTCTTTTACTTTGTTCTTGGGCTGCTATTTGGAGTCATGAGTGTCCCTTCCTTAGAACAATTTCAAGAGAGAATTCTAAATGTAAAACTTGCACTCAAAGAGGTAAGCTAGGGTCTGAGTGGCTCAATCTGGCAGAACAGCTTTGGAAATGAGGAGGTGAAGTGAGAACCAAAGCTTTTAAAAGAATATCATCTTTTTTTTTAATAATGATCAATCCCTGTAAAAAAATTTAGTCATAGAGATACAAGTTACTCTGTAATTTCATTTTTTCCAAAGATACACTATTAACAATTCAGTGCATCTTCCTCAAGATGAAAATGTGCCTTCTTTATTTATTTGGTGGGGGGAACCAGGGATTGAACTCAGGACCTTGAGCTAAATCCCCAGCCCACTCTCAACACATGTGTAACATTCATTCGGCTATATGGATGACCACAGTGCATTTAATTAGCCCCCTGTTAAACTTCAAGGTGTTTCCAATTTTTTCACTATTATGAAAAGTGAGAGGAGTATCTATGACTACATATTTTGCATAATCATCATTTCTTTTTTCTTTTCTTTTTTTTTTTTTTTTTTTTTTTTTTTT